TCAGGCCAGCGCCCTGCACCCCAAGTCCCCCCGGAATTGGGTGGGGCCAGCGCTGTGAGCTGACTGGTGCACACCCTCCGTCCTGCACGCGGGGGAGACGCTGGTCGGCCCTGGTGTCAGCAGCACCGGAGCGTGCAACAAAAGCGTGGTTCAAAGGAAGCTTCTGGGGGTAAAATATACACTTATTTGTTTGGGGTCAGACTTTATGCAGAATCCCCGAGGCCGGCAGCTGCTGCTCCACCTGCCAGGCGGCAGGGCGGTCGCCTGGTGTGCAGGGCGCTCAGTAGCAGTACAGACGCCCAGGGTCATGTGACCTGGAGCTTCTGGTGAGAGTGAGTTACCCTTAACCTCTGACGCCGCGTGGGAGTGACACACACGTGGACGGTTAGGGGGGAGGGAGGCACCTAGCTCTCCAGACAGCGGGGCGGGCGCCAGGCCGTCCCTGCGCTGCTTCCTGTCACGGCCCCGGACGGGCTGGGACACAGCCTTCGCTCACGCTCATCTCATGCCAAGAGGAGACTGTGGAACTATCCGACACACTCGTGAAGATTACGCTGTTTCACTCAGAAACACTGTGAAGCATGTGTTTGATGAAATCCACAAACCTGCGGTGACAGCGCCCACCTGAGTGGCCACCCGGGAGCCCTGGGAAGCAGAGCAATTCCTAACCTCTCGTCCCAACGCCAGCGATTTGTGGCGGCACGTGACACGATCATCCCTCGTGGCTCTCAGAGGGAATTTCCAGCAGCTTTGGGGATTTTATTAAGCCTTAGCTCTCTGATCTATCGGTGCCATCTTATAGGCTGTGCTCACCGTAAGGCATTAGAAACATTACAATGAACCGATGAATTATTTAAAAAGGCGAGCAGGACTGTATGAGACTCGGTCCCTGCAGGCGAGTGGATCACAGAGGGGGTTGCGTGCTCACCGGGTGCCCAGGCGCGGGGACCTCGGATGGAATAAGTGTCTCGGCCTCGGTGAGTTCCTTCCTGTCCCGCTTGCCTTCCCGACAGGGGACCTGTTTGCCAGGAAAGCATCTGGATCCCATCGCTCTCGTCTCCATGTGGACACGGAGGGGATCTGGAACCACTTAGGACGTCAGCGTCTGTAAGTGGCACTTAGGGTGCGGACAGGAAATGAGAGTGACAGCCGGGCTGTCCAGAGCCACTGGGAGTGCGAGTCCACCTTCCTGCTTACGGCACTTTCTTGGGTCTTAACTCAGAGCTCAAAGTATCACATTTCATGAAGCAAACAAAGCAACAGAGTGCAGTCCGGCCCGTGTGGCTCAGTGGTTGAGCGTCAACCTATGAACCAGGAGGTCAGGGTTCAATTCCCAGTCAGGGCACAGGCCCGGGTTGTGGGCTCCATCCCCAGTGGGGGGCGTGCAGGAGGCAGCCGATCCATGATTCTCTCTCATCATTGATGTTTCTATCCTGCTCTCCCTATCCCTTCCTCTCTCTGAAATCAATCATTTTTTTAAACTTGTTCTTGCCTAGTGTGAGTCTCAGGGGAAAAGCAGAAATGCATCCATAGTAAACCCTTCATGCCGGGAGCTGGTCTTGCTTTGGAACAATCCCAACAGCGACGACGCATTCATTTTCGAAGGGCTCAGTGTGAGTCAGAAAGTCCTGCTTTGTACGGAGTCAGCCTCTCTCTCCATTGCATCCTCTTTAACCCTCTCCCTTAAAAAGGCTAACCCAGTGGTCGGCACACCGCGGCTCCTGGAGTGTGGCTCTTCCACAAAATACCACATGTAGAAATGCATCCATAGTAAACCCCTCGTGCCGGGAGCTGGTCTTGCTTCGAGAACACTCTCCCCACTCCCCTTGGGTCCAATCCCAACAGCGACGACGCATTTCATGTTCGAAGGGCTCAGTGTGAGTCAGAAAGGCCTGCTTTGTACGGAGTCAGCCTCTCTCTCCATTGCATCCTCTTTAACCCTCTCCCTTAAGAAGGCTAACCTGTTGCTGTTCTGTATGACGCTCCAATCTCTAAGGCTAGCTACGGATAACTGTCCACGCTGTCCGTGCGCTGCCCTTTGTCACGCCCGAGATTCCGCGTGAACACCGTCAGTGGCCTCCTGGGACCTTGGGCAGAGGACTTGGGGACCGCTTCCATTTCTTAAAACCGGACTTCCGTTTATTCATCCTACAGTGGCCTGGCAGCATCCTTCCTCTCCGCCATGGCATCGTGCCACGGCCCCTCCTCCGCTGAGTCCCCGGAGATGCCGGGCCGTGCCTTCCCTCAGGAGGCAGCGGGCCAGGCCAGCCAGATCGGTCTCATTCAAGGGCGTATCTCGGGCTGGTGGATTGATTGGTGTTGACTTCAGCCACTGCATGTTATTGATTATTGGTATTCACATTCAGCCAGAAGTTTAAACCACCCTCCCGGGGCAGTTTAGGAGGGAGGCTCCATCTTGGGAGAATTTCTGCTGGTTTTCCACCTCCCCTTCCCCACCCCTCTTTCATGGGTGCTGGCAGTGAGGCCTCCTCCCCAGGCTGGGCTGCTGCGGGGTCTCCGGTCGCTCAGGGCCGGTGCTCAGTTCCGGAGGCAGGAAGGGCTGACCTCTGGCCAGTCTGCCCTGGAAAACCACCTGTGCTGCCCGGGCCGCTGGCCGCAGGAAGGGGCTCCCGCCTCCGATTCAGGGGTGACCCTGACCGTGGGCGCGTTGAGTTCACGGGAGCACCGAGGGGTCCAAGTGTTCCCAAGTACATGTGACCGCTTGCTGAGAATCAAACCATGTGAAAGTGCTTAGAACACAACACAGACGCTCCCCCAGCCCCTCTCCGTCCTGCTTCCAAGAAACAATTGCTTCCAAGCCTCTGTTCCTGCTTTTTAGGCATTTATTTCCTTTGTTCTAAATAATACATTGTGATTGCTCGGTGAGGTCTCTGTTTGCCAACTTCCCAGCTGAGTTTCTGTCATGGAAAAGAGGACCGGTTCTTGGCAGGCAGGCGCCCCCTGCCACCACCCCCTGCCACCGCTGCTCTGCGCCCCGTGAGCTCAGTGCCTGGTGACCAATCCGAATCCTGGGCAGCGTGGTGCCTTGGCGTGTTTTGGTCCCTGTCAATATTCCTCGCGCCTGAGCCAAACAGGGAACTTGGATTCCATTTCCCCTCGTACGGCGTTTACTTTCCCCGCAGTCAGTGTTGGCCTTGCTCTCATGAGCTTCGTGTTTCAGCGACACCATGGTCTTGTTTCCACGCGCCCGACCAGATCTGTCACAGCTGGCCACACGGTTCCCAGACGTATCCACACGCACATAGGGCGCTCTATCTCAGCTTGCGGGTCCTGCCCTCAGAGCTCTCCCCCACCCCCCGCTCTGCCCACCTGCAGGGCTCCCCCCGTACTCCCAGCGCCTCTGTGCTGCGAGGTCCCTCTGCACCCCCCTCTGGCCTGCTCCCCGTTTCCTCGGTTGACCCCGGTGTTCTGGCACGTCATCTGGCAGCTTCCTGGCAAAGGGCACCTGGCAGGAATAGCTTGTGGCTGCAGAGGCCTTAGGAGACAATCGAGGGGAAATGCTTTATGACACGGGGCGTGCTGATGGCTTCCTGGATTGACACGGAAAGCACAGGCAACCCAAGGGAAGGGCCCGTTGGGCTTCAAATGAAAGACTGTGTGCCCCCAAGAACACAACAGGCAGAGCGAGAAGACTCCATGGAATGGGAGGAAATGTGTGAGTCATATCCCTGGTAAGGGGTTGTCCAGACTGCACGTCAGCAACCACAACACCCCACAGCCCAATTACAAAGCGAGCAGAGGCCCCGGCTGGGGTGGCTCAGTGGATAGAGTATTGGCCTGCGGACTGAAGGGTCCTGACTCGATTCCGGTCCAGGGCACATGCTCGGGTTGCGGGCTCCATCCGCAGTGTGGGGCGTGCAGGAGGCAGCCAATCTATGATTCTCCTATCATTGATGTTTCTCTCTCTCTCTCCCTCTCTCTTCTTTCTTCTCCGAAATCAATAAAAATTAAAAAAAATAAAGTGAGCAAAGGACTTTGAGTAAACATTTCTCCAAAGAGACAGACAGAGGTTTAATGAGCACAGACACGATGCTTAGCATCTCTAAGCACCAAGGAGACACGATCAGAACCACAGGGAGGCCCCACTCAAACTCACCAGGATGGCTGTTACTTAAAAAATAAATAAGGACATGGAGGTATTGGACCCCTGTGCCTTACGGATGGGCATGTGACGGGTGCAGCGGCTGTGGAAATGGTATGGTGATTCCTCAAAACTTTCCATGTAGAATCATCACATGATCCAGCACTCCGCTTCTGGGTATAAGACTCCAAAGACATGGAGGCAGGAGGCCAAAGAGAGAGCGGTGCCTCCAGGTTCACAGTGGTGTGACTCACAGTCGTCAAAGGTGGGAGCAGCCCATCAGGGGTGAGCGGATGAGCCAAGGCCGTCTGTCCATCCAGGGGAGTCGTATGCAGCCTCCAAAAGGAAGGGCTCCTGACCGCACTGCAACGTAGATGAAGCGTGGCATGTTGTCACGTGAATAAGCCAGGCTCAAGGGGACACATGCTGTATGAGTTCACGCGGGTGAAGTTCCCAGAGAGTCAGACTCACAGACAGAAGGTGCATTCCGGGTGGTTTCCAGGGCCTGAGGGTGGGGAGGGGGAGCGAGTGTTTAATGGGGACAGAGTTTCAGTGTGGGAAGATGGAACGTTCTGGAGAGGGACCGTGGAAATGTCTGCACAACTATGTAAATGCATTTAATGCCACAGAACCAACCACTTTAAAATTGCTAAAATGGTACATTTCCCAGCGTCCCTGGCGGGTCTGAAGTGGGGGTTGGAGCTGATGCGAGGTCCTGGCCGCCACGGCTCCGGATCGGAGTGGGGAGCTGTGCCGTGTGGGCCTGTGTGGGCCCCACTTCCAGGTCAGCTGTGGCCCTGGTCACCGTCGGCTGTCCTAGAGGGTCTCCCTGGATGGAGACTCCCTGTGGGTGTCTCCGGAGCAACCGGCCTTAACCCATGTCCCGTTGTCCCTGCAGGCAGCTGCCTCCCCTTCGCGCCGACAAGTGGGAGCAGAGGGTCCGCCCTGCTGACCCTGAGAAGCAGGACCGACGCCCGGGAGCAGATGAGCGATGACCCGGCCACAGGCAGCCCGGACTCCTTCCACGTCCCAGGTACCCGGGCCGCTGCTGTGACCCACCCCACCCTCCTCTCCAGCGATTACTGTTGGATTATCTATTTCTCTCTCCGATTCTGTCTGCTTTTGCTTCATGTGTTTTGGTGCCCTGTTGTTCAGTGCATATATTTTTATGGCTTTACTAGTGACCCGGTGCACGAAATTCATGCACATTAAAAGGGAATTAATTAGAGGAAATATTTTAATATTGCTATTTGCCCTTTCTCTATAATAGAAGTGTCAGAGATGAAAGAAAAATAGCAAAATGCATATGAAAATCTTCCTCCTGTCAGAGTCTGGGGCGCACCACGGGACCAGAGTCAAGTCCCCGCCCACCCATGTGCACCTTGAAATTGCATGAGACCCAGACCTGGCTGGCCTCACCCTCATTGGACTAGATCCAGACCCGGCCGGCCCCACCCCCGTCAAGCCCCGCTGGGTAGGGATGCTGCCTCAGGTCTCCTGGCCCAGCACCAGGGTGGGGGGCATGGCCTGAGGTCTCCGTCAAGCCCCACCAGGCGGGGGGCACAGCCTCAGGTCCCTGCTGATTGCCCGTTAAGGCTCGTTATGGGAACTCAGCCTCCACGCAGCCATCTGACCATTACGGTGTGGTGGTCAATTTGCATATTCCCTCTTTATTAGATAGGGTCTTTTGGTGGTTTGAACTCTGTATTCTCAGCATGTTACTCATCCCATGAGTGGGGTCTGGGTAGGCAGAGGAACCCCCTCCCGCTGCTCTTGCCTGGGATACAGGTGCGGGGGATGGGGAGGCAGGATGAGAAACGCCCAGTCTGCTCCTCCCAGGAAGGTAGCCCAGTGACCGAGGGCTGGGGCACAGCGAGCCCTGCCGTTTTCCTGCTGCGGCACCTGGAGGGGCTCCCGGGAGGAGGGAGTGACGATACACAGGCCTCGCCATTCTTTACCGATTTCTGTAGATTTTCTTGGACACATGCTTCTTCGTCCGCTGTGTGCCCTTAGGGCCACTTCCAGAAGCTTTACCTGTTTGGTTTTTTCATTAAAAATAGTTTTCATGCCCGGCTGGCGTGGCTTGGTGGTTGAGCATTGACCCATGAACCAGGAGCTCACAGTTTGATTCCCGGTCAGGGCACAGGCCCGGATTGTGGGCTCGATCCCCAGTGTGGGGCGTGCCGGAGGCAGCCGATCAATGATTGTCTCTCATCATTGATGTTTCTATCTCTCTCTCCTCGCTCCCTCTCTGAAATCAATAAAAATATATTTGAAAAGTAGTTTTTCCCAGTTTCACCGGGAAAGGCCTGCAGAGCTCTCACACCGCGCGTGGGAAGCCGTTAGGTTTCAGTATAGAAACATTTTTCATTTCATGGGAAAGCGTGTTACGGAAATGAGGCCGTAAAATGGACATGGTTTCCCACTGGCTTCCTTTTCAAATAAGAGGTTTCTGCCAGGGGCTCCCACGCTGCCCGAACGGAAGGCTCCGGCAGACACGGAAGCTGCCACGTGTGGAACCGTGTTCTCAGGGGTCGGTGTCTCAGTGACAGGTTCTTGTTTTGTTTTCGAGCCTGATTTTGTTCTGACTTTGCATCCTCACTGTCAACAAGCCGCTTTCTCACGCAGCCTCCGTCCCACTCCCACATGGAGGGGACCTGGGCCTGGGACGGGGCATGTGCGCCCCAGTGGGGACGGACGGGGCCAGCGAGCCTGAGGGCAGGGCCCAGCGAGCCAGGGGGCAGGG